CCCTCCCCCTTCTCCTTACTCTACCGGCTGTCTGCTACCCTCCCCCCTCCGACTTTCCCATACTCTCTGCCCTAGACCCTAATGGACGCCGGTGTGGGAAAAATTGATATCCACACTTTCATAGTCGCTGGCGGACGCTGCCGCAAAGTATGAACGCATTCTAAAGCACACAGTTTATGAGCAAAAACAGGCAAGACCTACCATTCCCACATTTTCGATGTGATAACACCCCTCGCTCTCCCCGACCCCTACTATCGTTTGGCATTAATGGGCTCCATGAGTAACATTATCCAGTCTCTGCAGTCTCTGGCGAACATAAAAGCTATGCCTGGTTTTTCATATTTACTCGTATCCCCAAAAGCGTTCAGAAATACTGAATTCATTTCAGGTGAAGAAGATTCGCGAGCAAGAAAAGACCTACATAAGAAATGGATCGAAAAAGCAAAATGGCGAAAAAATTAAGACCGATGAGAGCAGTTTTTCCATCAGCTCTTGCAATAAATATTTCTTGTCTGATGAGTACAATGATATAAAAACCTTCGAGGGAGTTTTCTCAGGTAGGCGCATGCGCCGCATCTCACTCCATTTATCGTGAAAACGATTGCAGTAAACGACCCTTCAAAGAGATACCCCTATCTGGTAAAATTATCAGAACTCATCATGAAACTCGCGCTTTTTACTTTTTACAATTATTTATCACGGTTCACGCTATATTAATATGTGCTCCTTTCAGTGCATTACCTGAAGGAGCCCACTGACTTTCTGAGTTAAACTCTAGAGAACAACTATCTCAGAACAACAATCATCTAACAACATAACAATAATTACAAATGCTAGAATTAATTATAGAATTCTCTCAGAGTAGTCTTTCGTAAGGACTCTCCTCGCAGTGTTTGTGAAGAGCAGTCGTTTACCTGGAATATCCTTGATTTCTTCAGAGTTCGTATGGCAAATAAGAGAGAAATACCAACCCTCACTACAACATAGTCACCAGCCTCATACCCGCCGCTGTTCTCGAATATGACCTTTGTTCCACAATCTGCTCGGCCTTGCAAGGCCGTCGGAGATCTTCTAGATACCTAAATACTCATCTTTATAAGTGAACTTGGACAGATACACGAGATACGACACGTCATTGGTAACATCTTAAGCCTACTGAAACTGACCCCTTCAACTAACACCAGCTGCTCCGTTCCCATTAGAGATTTGTGCAACGCCAGTGATTCCTCACGGAACACTGTGGCCAGTTCTTCATGCCGTCGTCGTTTCACATCTTCAGGCACATCATCTGTCAAGCGGTAATGTGCACGAGTCTTCTAGAAAGGAAAACAACAATCTATGTTCAGCAAGGCGAAGAGTGACCTAAGAGCCATTCTGAAAGTCCCACATCCAGTTTTGTTCGCTGCGGACGCTGGAATGTTCCAGGGGATTGAGTTCGCGTGGCGCCAGCCTTTTGTCCACCAATTGTGAAAGCTGGCAGGAGACCATAATTGGTGGAAAACAGGCCGGCGTTGCGCGGAATCCTACCTCCTGTAGCATTCTAGCGCCCGCCGCGAACAAGACTGTGAGTTTAAATGTTCCAACCTCTCTCATACTGTACGGGAAGACG